GTGCATGCAAGAGAGGAAACTTTGAACTGGCCTGTTGGCTTTTTACACCTTAGGGTGTCCTGGTAGGGTTGTTCAACCTCTGCTGGTTTGAAGTGACCGAAGGATCAGGATATGACCGAAGGATCAGGACACACAGGTAAGACATCCTCTCGTGGGCGGAGGTCGTGAAAGCAGAGGAGAGAAGGAAGGAGAGAGACCCAGAGTGCCACAGAAAAGCCGGCGAAGCCAGAATGAATCAAGCGCATGAATGCAAGAAGGATTTTGGGGTGAGCTCTGCATCAGATTCTGGAAAGCACGGATGTATAGCTTGAAGAACATCGCAGGGGTAGTTTCTCCACGTAAGTTGCGCTTCATCTACCGGCTACCGGCCTGGCTTTCTTAGATGGCTCAGGTCTTGGCTGAGGGTGAAGTTGAAACAGGTTGGAGGAAAGGGCGGCAGGAGGCCGGCGGTGGATGGCCGCCGACACCCTGCCCCTCCTATCAGTGGATGGCTATATGGCTGTGGGGTCAAAACCGCACCCTACCAACCATGGTTTCGGTGGCACATAGAGGAATCGATTCATTTTCACGGGTCAACCAGAGTTCCGGGTTTTTGACCCGGACCCATATAAACATATACCTAGCACTTCCTGACCGGGTGCCCTGTCTGGAGACCTGTAAGTGGTCTATTGGACACCCATTGGATGAAGTATAATTATATCGTATATATATATATATATGGTTGGTTGGCTTCGGGTATGCTGCAGGGTACAGTGGTGGGATCCAAAAGCAAGAACTTCTCCAGTCCACGCCCTTCCCAGACTTGGTGGGTCCTAAGAACATCTACAGGAAACCCATGGTTTTCTCCCCCCCAAATTGATGGGGTTTCCTGTACCAGCACCGACTGAAACCAGGTCACCCAGACCGAAACCTGCAAAAAAAGGGCCTAACACCCTTCCGGATGTTCCAAGTACCACCCTAAAAAGTCGGTCGGTCGGTCTTGTGTCCAACTCTTCGGGTCCCGGAAACACCCGAACTCAACCACGTGAGCAGGAAAAACACGTCCAACAAACACCACCAGACCGCGCTGAGCTTTTCTTCTGAGCATCATCATGAAAATGGATGGAAGTGTAGAGTGAGTTTGCTCTACGGGTCTGCCTGAACTCTGGATCCTTTGAGCCCAGAAAACTGTTCCATCAATCGATCGAGGTCGACGTTGGCTGCGCGAGAGCGCGCAGCCTCTCGACCGGGGGGGGTCCTCGTCACACTCTTTTCGGCGCCAGAAGGACTCAATCTTGTCAAAACCCATTGACTTTGATGATCAGTCATGGAGTATGAAAAGAAGCTGGCAGGGGTCCGGGGCCGAACCAAACCCTATCTATTTGAGGGCCCGGATTCTTAGGGGAGTATGAAAAGAAGCTGGGATCAATCGATGTGTTCTAGTGCAGTCTTCTGAAGCCACGTGGATGAAAAGAACGACGTAGACGTAGACGCCGGCGACCACACGAGACCTAGACGTGCATGGCAAGTGCATGCTGGTATACGGTGGTCAGTTCAGGGTCAGTCACACACATCTAGGTTCTTCAAAGTGACCTTTTGTTCCCCTGGTTTGAGGTCACTTAGGCCTGGAAATGGTCACTTAGGGACTCCAAAAAGGTCACTTTGAAGAAGCTGGTAGATAGTGTTTTTCTTTCAGCCGGCCCCTGGTCTATGGCACGTACCATCTCACAGGGTCGGACCTTATGTGGGAGAAACCAGTTGGAGACTGACGAAGGGCTTGGCATTTTAACACAAACACGACACATGGGACTGCCATATTTGCATACATGTGGGTGTTTTCAGGGTCCAATGTGGATCTTCCAACTGCGCAGAAGTTCAGCCTTTTCATCTAGACAACCAGCCAAGTTAGGCAAACATAGTTGGAAGATCCAGGGTCCAATGTAGGAATATATATTCCAGTCCCATGGAGTGTTTGGCTCAGCATGCGCCTCCCGCGCAAAACGCCCCATTCCGCGATCTGCGAACCAAAGGAACCTGTGCTCCCAGCCCGGTCCAATCCATATCTTCCCGAGTGCCGGCAGATCGAAAGGCCATTGAAGGGCCCACGTTGTTGAAATGGATCTCCCAATGGGGATGGATCTCCCAAGAGTCCGTCGCTGAAGCTAGTCATGCCAACAGAGGTTGAAAAACCCTATAGGCTATCCTTTCGCTCCCCCACTATAGTCCTATAGGGTCCTTCAACCTCTGTTGGTGAAGGGAACCCCACAAATTTCGATTCGGGAAACCGGGCATCCAAGCGTCAATCCAAAGCAATCGACGGGATTGCACACGATGTTCTCCAAGGGATTAAATTTCTGATGATGACTCGTGGGTGCAAACAGACTGGGTGACAGTAGGTTCAGAATGGATGGCACAAACACGTCAACCGGTTAAGGTGATGAAGCACCCCCCACTTGGAATTTGCGCTATATATATGACCATGTACTAGTACTCTGCACGGTTTCAGGTTCGGCCACCACACAGAGTGATACCCTCACCAAACACCATGGTGATCTCTCTTTCACTACCTAGAGACTGGCAACCCGGCCCGTCGTCGCTTGCTGCTTGACACACACACACACACACCCTTCGTGTCCTTTTTCGTCTCGCCATCAGCAGCTTTGCAGCTGAAAGGCACGGGGGCCGGGCACTCCGCAGCCGAACGGACCACATCGGAAGGCTAGTTCATTGGGATGCCTGGGGCATAGCCCAGGATCTGCTGGAAGCGCTTGTACTCCTCCATGACGTCCTGATGCGCGAGCAGCTAGTCGCCGAGCACACATCTTTCGTGCTCCAAGGATTGGGGCGAGAGGAGCTCGAGCTGTTTGGGGGTGTGAAGATTCAACAGGTGGTTCTTCTTCTCGAACGAGAGGAGAAACGTCTGTTGACGGTCAAAAAGGAGACAAAACCGATCGAGAACGACCTGTTTTCTTTCTGGGTCCAACGGTCATCAGCAAGCTCAGAAGCTTAGGGTCAGCAGCCATCATTCTATCAATGCACAAATTCTGGGACACTTCTGAGAATCTTTAGATGCGTCTGGCTAAGCCATATCAATGCATGGATCTGGGATATATGGACTCTTGATGAATCACCCCCCCCACATGGGATATAGTGCTTCCGGTGCAATAATTCGATGCATTCCCTTCTTGTTCTCCCAATCGCTGGACTCCTGAGAGGGTCTGGTGGCGCTCGTCTCTCAGAACTCGTGCGCTATGGTGGAATCACCCCCCCCAACAATTTGGATTGAACCAACCTCTTCAGACCCTGCGAGAAGGTGATAACCATAGAGTTACAAAGATGTCAGACACCAAACCCCTGACCAGTTCGGATTCGGGTCCAGGATCGCGTCGACCGGCACCTTCTCTTGGCGCGAAAACGGCGACCGCACTCGAGATGTCTGGTGCCGATCGACGAGATCACCCGATCTGCCGAAATCCAGCCCGACGGAAGTGAACTTGACGGACATGCCAACAGAGGTTGAAGAACCCTGGGGCCGGATGGCTCCATGGGCTCGACCGGCCTCTACACTGGCACGTTTAGGAGCCAAGATTCTGTAACTAGACTATCCGACCAGGAGTCACATGTCGCTCGGGGTGGTTTTCAGTCCCATTGGAGGGCACCCCAACTACCTCCGTTTTCGGCATCCCAAGCGAGCGAGCTCTGTGACTGCTGGTTGACCGGTACCCCAGGATCGATCGGGTCCTCGTTCACCCAGACGCTCCGTGCACAGCTCGACTGGTCCCGAACAAAACCCTAGGGATTGGTGAGAAGGTCCAGACCCCTCCAAAGGCTTCGGGTCCAGACCCCTCCTTTCAGGATTCGGGGGCCGAGTTCGGGTCGCGTCGACCGGCAGGTCACTTCTTCGCTACCTCTGTTGGTGGACCGAACTTGACGGGTTTCAGGTCACATGGCTTCAGGCCGTCGGGTGGCTTGGCGCGCTCCGTTCCGAATCGTGAACTCAGCCGTTCACTGGTCAGGGGTCGCTTCTCACCAATTGTCGGGATCTTCCAAGGACGTGCAGGTCATTTCTGCCTTTTTCATTCGATCAACCAAGTTAGGCATACATGTTGCATATAGTTGGAAGATCTAGGATACCAAGAGAGGTTAAGTGACCTTATAGGACCGTAACCTGGGGTACCCAACTGGGATAGGCGAACGTTCGGGTCCTTCAACCTCTGTTGGTATGGTTTGGTTCGGGCTGCAGGAGTCGGGCGGTTTTCACTCACGAAAACGGAGCGCGTCGTCAATCCGCGCGCCAGGTCACCTTCCCCAGCACCCCTTCAAGGTTCGGCCGGGACCCGACTACAGGTGGTGAACCTGGGTTTTATCAGGCAGAAACGCCATGCACAGTTGGAAGATAGAGGTCGGTATGACACTATAAGGGAAAGCCCAGGCAAGGGTCTGCAGGAGCCAAGAGCCTCGAACCTTCTTCGCATTACTGGTGCTCATCCTCCGCAGTGTGAGCCCTCTTGAGAGGGCGAACAAGGCGGACATCGTGGTTTCTTCGTGCCCGCTGCCGCGGCCGGGCCGTCCTGGTCTAGCAGCGACAAGTGTGCACGGGCTTCGTCCAGTTCTTGGTCATCACCTCAAGAACGTTGGAAGGTGCGGGAACCAATAGCCCGACAGGAACACAAAAACACCTTGGCAAGAACACAAAAGCAATCAAAGCACCTTCTAGACGACAGGAACCAATGTGTGGATTTCAGGAGAAAGCCATTCTTGAACACCACTGGATTGGCGGAGTTCTCCCTTTCCTTCCCAAATCCCGAGCCAACGCGGTCGCCTTCCGACCTTTAAAAGAAATGCACAGACGCGACCCTGGACTCGCACCCGTTTTTCCAAACTGGTCAGGGGTCTGGACCTTCTCACCAATCCCCATGCGTTTGGTTCGGACCAGGAAAGGGCTGTGAACTCGCGTCGACGGGTGGTTGACCTGTTGTCCTCGTGTAAGTTCCGCCTGGTAACCAATGGTGGTGTGGTCTTTCACCTGTGGTCGTCCACGCGCGGGAGACCCACGGTGCAAGCATGAAATCAAGCGTTGGCCGCGAAGCCTAGGGAAAAGACTACCTATGGATCTTCCAACTGTGCAACATTTATGACTTCGATTTAGTGGATGAAAAGGCAGAAATTCTGCACAGTTGGAAGATCCAGGTATGAAACCATCGACCGTTTTCCATGTCTCGGGCTTTTTTGGTCCTTTTCCCGAGAGCGTCTGCGAAGGGTTCTTCGTAAAAAAAACATCTGCAGAACTACGTATCATCTACATCTTCACATCTTCACATCTTCACATCTACACCTCTGCTCATCTTCACATCTGCACACCTACATCTCCGCTCATCTTCACATCTCTGCTCGTCTTCCTACATCTCCACTCATCTTCTCATCTGGACATCTACATCTCTGCTGATCTTCACATCCTCACATCGACATCTCTGCTCATGTTCATATCTGCACATCGACATCTCTGCTCATCTTCACATCCTCACATCTACATCTCACATCTTCACCTCTCGCTCTTCTTTACTTTATCTCTTAAGGCCGGGGGCGGTGCCGCCGGAGCACCACGAAACGCAGCCCTCTGCGGAGATCGTGCGTGTCGAGGGCGCGAAATGCAGGCGAGAGTGCGATTTGGTTCTGTCCGGCGCAACCCTCTGCGGATATCGTGCGTGTCGAGGGCGCGAAATGCAGGCGAGAGTGCGATTTGGTTTTGTCCGGCGCAACCCTGCGGAGATTGTGCGTGTCGAGGGCGCGAAATGCAGACGACAGTGCGATGAGTCCCATGTGCGCGCGTATGTGGGGAGCTGGAAGAAGATGAGAACTGGCAGCTTTGTAGTAAAACTTTAGTACGCGGAGTATCTGGGGAGCTGGAAGATGAGAACTGGTGACTTGCTAGTACACTGTAGTACGCGGAGTAGCCGGGGAGCTGGAAGATGAGAACTGGCGACTTTGTAGTACAACTTTAGTACGCGGAGTATCTG